TGGTCAAGACCTCCTATCATCTGACTTCTTAAATAGAGTTCTGATAACAAGATTTTTAAGATGGTAGTCATGGAGAACATAATGGATGTCAGGTTGGCACAATTTTCATGTCAATGTGACCATCCATTCATTAGCAACCATATGATGTGCAGTGTGGCTATAATGGATATCTAAGCATGCAGCACCATTTTCATTTAGGATCAACTAAAATATTGGCTGAATTTGTGTATAACATTTCAAGGCAATCCTTCAAGTTGTTTATGAATGGCATTAAAATACTTGTGCTAATGAACAGATGGACAGACAACAGATGATAGACAATGGACCATCCCAGAAAGCTTTACTGGTCTATGACCTAAGTAGAGCTAAAAAGATAGGCCAATTTTTACATTATACCTTGACATAAAAAGCACACCCAAGCAGCAGAAAAACTTTGGGGACATATATAGATAATATTAACAGGTACTGTGCATGTAGCAAAAAATTAGCAAAACCATGTAGATATGACCTCTATTAAAAGGGAGACATTTAATTGTTGTTGACTGCAGTATTCTATAATAATCTTGAACATAAAATAGGAGAAAGATGTGAACTTGGAGGATGTATATACCTGCAGTGGGAGAAAACATAGTAGGTAACCCCTCCATCAGTTTATGAATGGCTGTGAAAAATAGGTGTTTTATTATTTAATAATGTCCAAACCTAGAATTTTAGCCCATATTTCTTTACAGCCAGACAGACTTGTAGATTAGCACTTACTAGTCCTGATGATGAATCTTCAGTAAATTTACCAAAAACAATGTCAGACACATACCAAGATTTACTAGGCACTGGACTATAGAAATTATATAACTATTAATTCCAACAAGAAATTTACTATCCTTGTACAAGTAGAGTAAAACTAATTTTAAGTCCTGTTGTCACAAATGCATCTTTTACACCATGAAGTGGAGTTAGAAATAAAACACTACCTTAAATAATCAACATGAAATTTACACACTAGTTGATTAATCAATTTCAGCAAACTTAAAAAATGTATCTTTCTGACTTTTCCATATCAAAGATGGTCAACAACTGAATGGCACTGAAGTCCAGCAAAAGCTGCATCAACCCTATTTCCCTGCAACAGTGTTTTAAATATTTACAGTTGAAGAGATCCTATTTTCTAACCAGATATTGATGAATCTGAATTAGGCACAAGGGCTGAACTGATACAATGCCACTGGGTAGAATTCTGAACTACCCATGGTAAATATGAGACTATGTATGTAGATACATGTACTAATATCTCCAGACCAGGCCCTAGGATATGCAGGGCCCAAGGCATCAAGCGATGAGAGCGTGGGGTGGGTGGGGGAGGCGCCAAGCAAACAAACTGCATTGCAGAGAAGCATGGGGCCCAAGGTGGTTGCCTTCTTTGCCTTGCTCTTGAGCCAGACTGGAATATCTCCAATATCAAAACTGTATAGAGTTCCATGTACTGGGACATTTTGAAAGAGAAAACCTAACTACAAGCAATGTTAATTGCATGTGTTTTTTTAATACCAGGGGTAAGTGAATTTGTGCTGTGTGCATGTGAATGATCTGCCTGTTATATACAGTTTAAACAAGATCAAGATATGTTTATGTTTTTAGATGTACTTGATTTTCTGACAGTAGAGGAAAAGAGCCAGTCATAAATAAATAGGTGTGAACTTTGTTGATTTACAGCTGGAATATTTTCAACATGTACAGTGTCCACTATGATGTCAGATGCATGTACAAAGAATGAAGACTAATCTGCATCAAACATTGTCACCATGTTCATACAAATAACTGACATTTCCACTAAGGAAAATATTTCCATAGAGTAGCTAGGAAGCCTTTGATAGGATAAGCAGGTATAACTATGTAGTAAGATGACAAATTGATGACTGGTACAACATATATCAACAAAACTTCAGTGTTTACAAATCACTTGCCTTACTCTGAAGCCAAGATCAAATTCAACTGGCAAGATCAAGTTTCCAAGTACTTCCAGATGGGCAAATCCAAACAAATGGAGAGAAAGAGAAAGAGGGAGAAAGTGATTTTGTTCTGTTCATAATGCTTTATGTTTTACAAGTTTTATATCATGCTATCTCACCATTGTACATATTTCAGTAATTTAAGTTAGTGTTTATATGTGCAGCATTCTTTTATTGCATAACTGGTCAGTTTCTTTCATCTATCATGTTTCATTTCTGTCTTACATTTTAATTGTAATATTTGTAAGTATTCAGCAACTTATAGGTTCTAACATAGTCTCTGGCAGTTTAATAATAATAATATTAGTGCCTAATCTTTAGAAGCTCTAAGTGCTTTACAACATTTGACAACACTTAAAAAGAATAAAAAACATAATGAAATGATTACAAAAATAACACCACCACAAAATTAGAAACAGAAAACATGCTATAAATTTTTTGGTAGGGATATGTTAAAAAGGATACATTATTAGGTCATTATGACTGTTCTTGCAGTTGAAAGAGATGGGTTTTAAGGGCACTCTTGAATAAGATCACTGTGTCTTTGTGTCTAAGTGCAGTGGGCAATTGTTCCAGTTGCTGGGCCCTGGTATGCAAAAGAACATCCATATGATTTCAACTTCATAGTGGGAATATTGAGAATGGGAGTGTCAGAAGAGGAGGTAAGCATCTTGCAGGTGTATACACATGGGTGAATTGTTAGATAGGTATGTTGGACTGGAGCCTCAGTGAAATATAGCAGAGAGAACATATTTTGTGTTTAATTCTGTCTGTGAACTCTAAACAAATGGTTGTTTTTGTCATGGAGTTAAACCCATTTTTCAGCACATGACAGGCTTTATGCATGGCAGCCAGATCATATTGCAGATGAAGAACCAGGGAAAGCACTGGGAAGAATGTTGGCTGAGCCCAAGACTTTCACCCATGCAGTGTGAGGTAAGATCTCCATGATCTGTAAACCACTTGCCCCCCCCCCCAACAAACAGCTGGTCAAAGATTGTTTAGATACATATCACCATTTTTACAGTGAGTTAGTTGTTACTAATATATTATTCTTGGATTTTTTTTGATAGGTGTCTGCAAATAAAAAACACTAGCCTCTAATGATTAACTGCAGGAGGAGAGACTGATTGATGTACTGATAACTAGCACCCACAAGTGGTGCTACAATTTGTTGTTTACATGATAATTATAGGTGACCAATATATAATCACTGTTTGACAAATGATTAAATGGAGAATAAAAATTAGTGTTCTCAGTCTGAAAATTCAGCTAGTCAAATATTTTGATGCATATTGCTGATTTCAAGGTGACAAGATGTTAATCATCAGGTAAATGGATCAAGGAAGTGGTTTACAAATCCTTCAGTTCTAAGAATAAATAAATCATCAGTGAGGCTTTCATTATTGATGATGCAGTTGATGGAAGAGTCCACTATCTTATCTGAGCCAAACAAGGAAAGTTGATGAATTTTCTAGAGCAATGAACAGGTTTAAAGACAAATAACCAATATGAAGCTATGAATTTTGCAAGAAAGTGGCAATCTTTTTTAAATAATGAGAATACCCAGCTAGAATATTGTTACTGGTTGTTCAAGGTCTTTTACCCAAATATCTGTCTAGATCTAAGTCTCTTATTTTCAAACCATTTTCTACCTATCCAATTATCATAAATGGTATTTGCCCTTTTTCACTCTAAACCTTTCTCCTTGACCAATCTATAATATACATGTATTATTTACAAAAAAAAATTGTGATTACTTATCAGCATCACATGGTTTTAAGGTGCCAACAAAGATATAAAGAAAATGAAAGTTAAAATAAATATAATACAATTTCCTTAAAATATACATGTACCATACATGTATTTTATCTTATATGTTTACTTGTTTTGTGATACCAAGTTGGAGGCAAGCTCAAAACTACTCAAGGGCAAGCTTATATTTCTAGTATGCTTGCTCTGGGCAAGCCAACTTTTATAAAATGTATAAATCACTGACTTCCTGGATTTCTCTTAGTGAGTGATATAACAGCTCAAGTGCACAGATGCCAAAATAACATGTACATAACTTACTTCAAACAATATTTAGCCTTTTTTCTAAGTTGGTTGGCTGTCACATTCACATTCTGTTTAGCACATGGAAAGAATGTAGTAATAATATGGTAATAATCTATGCTTTATTTAAGATTAATTATTATTGTATATTCCTACTGTCTTGCCTTTTTCATTGATAAAATTGATATATAGTGATTATGTCAAGTTAGTCAATGTGACAGAACATTAGGCAATAAACCAAATTTAAAATATCATCCTCTTGTTCCAAATAGAAAAAAGAGCTATTTAAAAAGTTTTTGGTACTATGGTTTGCTCATTTGGAATTGTTATCAGTTAGAGGATTGATGAACAAAGAGATCATTATTATTATTATTATTATTATTATTATTATTATTATTATTATTATTATTATTATTATTATTATTATTTATTTAAACAGGATAACACAATTAGCTAAGAACTATTTTTTTTTTTTAGCTGCATCTCTGAAGCCTATGTATATACTGGGCTTTGAAAAAGGAAACTGAATATTTCTAATCAACTGGAATACTATTCCAGAGCAAAGTTCCAAAGTACTGGAAACTTTTTTAAAATAATTCCTTATTTGGTTTCAGAATTTTATAATGTTTGGTGGATCGCAGGTGGGGAGTATTGCCAGGTAGCCTATACTGGAATAATGATTGTAAATATTAGGAACAATATTATGTGATGTGATGTGGCTATGATTTTTAAGGTAGCTTTGACAATTTTTTAGTCATATCACTATGATGTCTGCAGTGTGGCAGTTTATAGTGATGCCTAGAACTGGGGCATCATGTCGAAGACATGTATCATGATGTCCCACCCAGTCACATTATCCTAACACCAGGCAGACCAGTCCTAACCTCTTAATGCTGAGCACGAAGTGAGGAAGCTGTTATTACCATTTTTGTAAGTCTTTGGTATGACTCAATGGGAAATCGAACCCGGGACCTTTTGCATCCGAGGCACATGCTCTTACCACTAGGCCACCAGAGCAGTGAGCAATATTATTGGATATCTTGTACATTAATTTGGCATTTCTCAAACAGATTTAGTCTTTAAATGATAATATATTTAACTTATCAGCTAAATTTTCCTTGCTTTCTTTCTGGATTGATTTTAGCCCAAATGCTTTTTTTTAGACATGTTCTAGCTTTGCTATGTTTATATCATTTGAATTACTTTATTACAGTAGCCTAATTAGGGTTGTATATAATTGTTATAAAAAAAAGTTTTATGTGCCTTTCTGGGCCTTCTTATCCTACTGAGAAGCCATAAACTTGAATTGACTTTTTTATTGATTTGTTTGATATGTTCAGTCCATGATAGGTTATTGTCTACCAAAACACCAAGTAGACTATCATGACAGACTATTTGCAAATTTTTATCCTTCCATATCAGATGCATGTTCATCACAATCAAGTTTTGTTCTTTTTTTCTGTGTTGAGATACGTAATATTTTAGTTATACCATTATTAATGTAAATTATCATGTAAATTCTGGTACACTCCTGCCTCCATAAATCTAACCCATGCCCCCCCCAATGATAGAGATGAATCTACAGTCAAAAAAAGAGTACAGTTCTTAAGAGAAAACTGTTGAGTACAATGGTTCATCAACATGTATATCTTCTTATAAAAACCATAATATTTGTGTACCAAGTTAATCACTGCAATTGACTTATAAATGCGGGAGTAAATTATGGTTTCTTGCATCCAGCTAAGACATTATCTTTCCATTAACTTCCAAGTGCTGAAACCATCTCCAGTATTCTTCTGCAATAACAAGGTTTTCAAAGTAGCTGCTGTAGTGGCCATAGTGGATTCATACAAGATCAACAAGTTATCATTAGGACTAACAAAACATAAGTCTTCTGACGGAAACCCCATGTTGATAGGGCTTTTTGTTTTGGAGAAGTAACAATAACAATAACATGATTTTCAAGATGCAGCAATGGTTACCATAATTGACATCACACTAGCACAATTTTCACTTAAATCAACACAGGACAACAGTAGAAACCTTTTGGTTAAACCTAATTTCATTTATGTGATAATCTATTCAAAAGGAGCAGTAGCAGCAAGATTTTCAAGACAGTCATCATGGTAGCCATTTTGGCCCAAATATAGTCCAATGCTACATCCCTGTTTGTTTGTACCCTCTACCAATTTCAAAAACTAAAAAGTTTTATGTGATAAAATGCTCACAGAACTAAGACACTGAATTATTGATTTATAATTTCTAACCTGACTGTGACCAGAATGGCACTAATACTGGCATCTCCTTGCACCTTTCTTGCTTAGCAGACTTTCCATACTAACACAGCGCCCCGTACACTATGGGCTAGTTTTTTTCCATCTGGCAAGAAAATGATGTAATTCATCATATTTTATAACTGCCAGATAATTCCATAAATTCCAAATTATGAATTTGGAATTATATTCCTTTGCACACATGAACATATTAATGAAACCACTTGTTAAATTCACTGAAAAGCTAAAAACTGAGACTAGTTGTGCTAAGAAGTGCTGAATGGACATACAGATGGGCAAATAGACATGATCTTAATACTATAGATCATATATATGTATATATATTTAACAGGTACCTTAATCATGATATATTCATCTCAGTTATTATCATTACATACTGCAGTATTCATTTAAACCTCAATATCAAATAATATGTTGCATTTAATAACATAGAAAACAATGTATTACATTATAATGTAAAAATATTCCTATTAAAATCCTGGTTAGATAACTGATATACAAAGGTCACTCCTACTGATACAAGGGATAAACTATTTTATGTTGTGTTATTTATTAGCTCCATGCCATATATTAAAAAATACCTTACCTGCAAGGTCACTGTATGTCCTACAAGAAACACTTTTTTTTTTCAACTCTCAAGCTCCCTCTGCCAGTGCTGTGGTTATTGTTTGTATTAATACTTGTGGCATAAAGGCACAATATTGACACAACCAGTCTTATCACTTACTACCCTAGCATCTGCTACTAAAATTGTGGTATTTATTATTAAAACCAGTATACATCATTAGTATTGAACAACATATCATTTTAAACACTGGTTATCAATGATTTACTACTATACTGGATACCACCATATTAATTAAATATACATCTTGCACTACATAATCCAGGACAGTGAAATGAATGATTTGCCATAACCCTTTATGAAGGTGAAGGGAAATTTTGTTGTTGGTATCACAATGGACCTTGGAATTATCATTACATTACAGATAGTAAGTACATCTATGTGGGTAATGCCACCTCCTGGGGTAAGAAGTTACTAATGATATAAACCTGCCAGAGGCACCTCAGTATAATAAATACCACAGGTAAACTTATAGTTGTAGACAATAAAGGACAGGTGATTCATCCAAAGAATGTAAGGTAAAGTTAAGGCAGAGTACAAAGCCCAGTCAGTGCTAGAAAAAAAGGTACACACTTTTGTGTAAGTACAGTATATAGACTGCCATGTTAATATGTGTGAAATTAGGTTACAGGCAGAAATTTTACTCAAACTGGGGTAATTACATATCCCATGTTCTACACTGGGTATATTCTGCATTGCATTATATCACTGAGGTGATGAATATAACTAATATTAATAAACCAAAACAAAATTTCATTACTTATGCATAAGAGTGACAAAGGATTTGAGCTAATAATTGCTGGAGTGTGAAAAGTAGGTCACTGAATTTTGCCAATAGTATATAGTTGCCTCAAAAAATGAACCCACCCATCAAGTTTCATGATAGTGCATACAAAAGTGTCAGATATCTAGTAAAATGGAAAAGGAAGATTGACATCTATAATGAAAACAAAATAGAAAAATGTTCATTCCTAATGGAAGATGTCCCATAAAGTTCTGTTTCTGACCAAACTGCAATTAGATCACTAATGTACAGTTTCATATAATTTTTTAAGAGAAATTATTCACGAAGGAAGTGTCAGCACATTATCCCATGAGAATAATTTCCATGGATCTGTCATGTGTTTACACTACAGTGGAAATGACCTTTATGGGCAATTAACAAGTTTGTTCATGGACTACTATTAGCATTAACCTGTCATGAATCACTTACTAGTCCTAGTGGGCTATCCTTTATAGGCAACATCAAAATGAAGGAAACAATTAATGCCTGACTGTCATAATATCTGAGCAATAAACATCCATATACTGATACATCTTACATTACAATGTTTCCCTTTGCTCTCCTTTGGGCTTCTGTGACCCCTCAAATTTGTTATATTGCCTCCAGTTCTGATATCAAAGTAAATTTTTAAAAACTCAGTTTCAACAACAGTTCAAACAGCAAGAGCAATTTTACTCCTATCTTGCACCCCTAGGTGATGCAATGTACAGTTCAAATGCTATACCAGCTTTACAAGTACAAGACCTAGAATCAATTCAATATGGCAATTAGGTCACAATTAGTCAATTGATTGTTCATGGTAAGCCATATTTTGCTGTATCAATTCACTCATATACAAATACTTGATGTATGAAGTCTCTTTATGTAATGATGCTGGGAATATTCAAGTTCACATACATCTTTTACAGGCAACAAGAGATGGATGGACTCAAAATATCCTTTTATTAAGGTCAAAACTGGTAAAAATGAGCCACAACATAAAGAAAGTCAATAGCAGCAACACAAAATTAGATTACCCTAATATTATATGATTAAAGAAATATATGGTTTTTAAAAAAAATCAAATATGTATTCATCATCAATGCATGCAAATCATATTTGGTAATTTTTGTTACAAAGTACTTGACTGTAGGATTTAGATTTGTGTCAATAATTATAAACTAGAAAAAATAATTAGAGCAATAGAAGCAATAGGAAAATTTCAGAATTCATATATTTTCTGGATCAAGTGTTGCATAAGTGAAACCTAGCTTACCAGAGAACCTCAGTCTTTCCTGGCCATCAACATATAAGCCAACAACAAAAACCAATTTTTTTAAACATTTGTTTTCACTGTAATATTTTAAAGTAAAGTAAAAGTAACAAGTCTTGAAATGATCAATACAACAGTCCTTATCAAAATATGAATCATTCAAATGTCTGAGTACTGTTCATGAGTCAATACTGTTCAGGTACACATTTATTTGTTCTAAATACCAACTGTAACTGTACTGTCATGTTTTGACACTTTTCTGTTCTATCTCAGAAAGTATCTCTGTTCAACATGTTAATATACTTCTTAATCCATTACTTAAGATAAAAAAAAGCCACATTTTATTTACAAATTTCCCCAGCAACCATATTCCAAATACTATACACAAAGTTACATACATATACTTTTCTAAATCCAAGTTTTGCATACTGTTGCTAGCATTAGTTTTAAGGTTGTGGCATATATCCAGTGCAGTATGGTCTTTTCCTGAAATTATATCCATTCTTTCTTTGTTGAATACACTGAATAATTTTAAATCTCAATATGCTCACTAAACAAACACATGCACCATTCTTCAATGAAATCTGAGGATGTAAATTACCAGTAGCCAATACTTTGAAATCAGACCTTGAAAGAGAATTTTTAACACCAAAGGCATATACTGTCATCAGTTATACCACAATGGGTACACCAAAATAAAACATGAGACATTCACACAAATTATGGAAAAATCTCAAGATCCAGTTTTGCACTGTGTATTTATTTCCCCACATGAATAGTTCTGAATAGACATTTAAAAGAGCTTGGACTTGTAACTATTAGAAATTGGTCAGAAAAACAATGCCAGACAAATGACTGTAAGATTTATATTATATAAATTGCCATATGATACCCTTTTGAGTCTAAATGTACTAATGTGTGTGTGTGTGTGTGTGTGTGTGTGTGTGTGTGTGTGTGTGTGTGTGTGTGATTTAGACTTTTAATGTAGCTTTAAAAAATTTTCAGTCATGTACTATGAATTGGCTATCATAAAGCCAAGAGTGGTCAACTGCAGCTTGCCTA